CGTAGAACACCCCGGACCACACCACCTGAGCTCATGGCAGAGCCTGACACCAGGCCAACTGAGATCAAGCCTGATGTCAGCACCGTGCCCATGGAATGCAAGGAAACCTCTGACAATGCTGTGACCCAAGACATGGAAAACCCCGACAGTGCACTGGCCATCGAAGCCGACATCGAACCAGTTCATTGCACTGCAGAGCCTGACACCACTGTGGCTGATGACACAAGCGGCTCTGACACCACAGTGACTGATGTCATGGCCAAGCCTGACATCACACTGATGCCGCTTGATGGCACAACAGACTCTGACGTGGCACCGATGGACGGTTCAGCAGAGCCTGACACCGCTGTGGCTGATGACACAACCGGCACTGACACCGAGATCGTGGCCAAGGCTGACATCACACCAGTGCTGATTGATGGCACTTCAAGCTCAGCCACAGAACTGATGGATGGGACAGAAACCCCTGAGACTGCCTTGACCACTGACACAATCAACAATGAAATGGAACCAACTGATGTCAAGGCGAATGATGTCACAACTGAGAGCATCGAAAAGGCTGACACCATGCCCTCTCAGAGTGTCCCTGATGCTCCCCATCTGGAAATTTTTGAGGAGAAAGGTGTCTCCAGAATGAAGGAAGTAAGCAGCCTGTGGTCAGGGCTCAAGTGCCCCAGAGATCTTGTGGCCTCTCAAGCTGGGTCTGCTGGGTCCCCCAAGCCTTTGAGGCCATAGAGTATGGTGGGAAGGGAAGCACTTCCTGGGGGAAACTGGGCAACTTCCTTGCTCTGGGAACTCTGCCACCCTCCCTCATTTCCCCTCCAGGTGCTGGCCATTGTGAGGTCCATCCACCAGCGCCTCACATCCCACGTGTCTCCAGATGTCAGGATGCACACTGACATCCGCAGGCTGGCTGAGGCACACCCTCGTGAGATGGTGACAACTCTTCTGTGCTGTGCCCCAGCATGTGACAGGTACAGGGCTCAGCTGCCTTGGTGGCTCAGGGCTCAGCAACTTTAGAACCAATCACCCTGTAGAGCCTGTCCCACCTGGTCTGCCAGGCAGATGGAGAGTTCCAGGACATTCTGACCCCTCCATTTCCCAACCCTGGCCTGTCAGCCCCCCATCCTGCTGCCATTTGCCCTCCCTGTCCCTCAAGGCACAGTGGCTCTCTCACCTGGGCCCTCACAGCTGCCCTGCTGTGGCACTGTGGTTGAGACCCCCCTGACCCAGAGCTCTGTCTCCACAGAGCTGCTGCAGTGATGTGGAGCAGCATCGCCTCCTCAGGAACAGCAACGGAGAAGATGCTGCCCACACTGCTTGGAGCAATGGACGACTGGCCAGTGCACGGCATGTTCTCCTCTGATAGCAACAACACACACGTCTCTTCCCTAGCTGTGAGTTTCTGGGATTGGCCTTTGCTTCTCCCCAGGTCACCTCCCCAGCCTCTGCCTCTCCCTATCTCAGGCCTTGGGCTCCAAATGTGACTGGGGGCCGGTTCAGGGGCACCAGGCTGGCTGCTTCCCCTGGGACTCCCCTGGCCTCTCCCTCCCACACTCGAGCCCTGCCACATGAACATCTCACACTGAGCACTGTCTCTATGTGGTTTTATTGCAGGCAACCCTGGCACTGCGGCTCATCATCCAGAAGCCCGAGTGCCAAGATGCAGTTTTCAATTGCGCCCCACACCTCCTCGTGGCTTTGCTCTTCCAAATTTCCATGAGCACACAGCAGATGTCAGAGGAGGTCAATGCTTTCTGGAGGGGATGCCAGGAGGAACATGGCCTTCCCACCAACCCCAACAGGTGCTCCATCCCTGTCCTGTATCCCTCCCATGCCCTTGGGGCTGAGGCCAGGACTCCCAGCATGACCTGGCCTTTGCTCTGCACACAGGTTTGCAGTACAGACCCTGAAGGCTCTGCTCTGCTGCCTGCACTGGGAGAATGAGGTGGTGGCCATTGAACGGAAGCGTGGCTGGGAGGCACTTCTTTGTTCTGACACCCATTACTATGCAGTGGGGCTGCTGGCCAGGTGAGACACCCTTCTCCCTACTGCCCCTTTTGTCTCTCTCTTGGGCGCAGGGCACCCAAAACAGCCCACGTAGGCATGGTCCAGTTGGCCTTGGCACCAAGAGATGTCCAAGCAGTTTGGAAAAGGCTGTGAGAGCTGGGTGCACAGGAGGAGCCACCTCCCAAAGCACCCACATCCCATGCTGGGCTGCAGGGGAAAGACCAGGTTGCTGTGAGTCAGTCCTTGGAGAGCTTTGCCTGACTGGCACAGGCTTGATGGTTTCATTTTCCCTCCTGACAGGGAGATGCGCCACGTCTTGGTGCCCTTCCATTCTGAGATAGCAATCCACCTGCTCGGGCTGCTCAGCAGGGAGGAGCCCCTCTGGGAGCTCCCTGCCCTGGCATTCCTTGTAGAGGTGAGCCTGATGGAGAGCGCTGCCTCACCTGCCTGCCTGCCCCTCTCTGCCCTCTCGCAGCCACAGCTGCCCAGGATGGTGCCTGCGCCCTGTGCTGCTGCCTGGGCACAGCCCTGGCTGGCTCCAGGGTCCTGCCACCTTGGCACCCCAGCACTGCTCTCTACCTTCCAGATCCTGGACTATGTGGATGGGAGAAAGTGTCATGAGAGGGTCCTCCCCATCCTATCAAGGAACCTGCAGAGCCAGTGCCCTGAGCGGCGGCGCCTGGCCCTGAGAGGGCTCCTTGTTCTCAGTGTGGATCCCTCGATGGTGAGAAGGGCACACCAGGATGAAACCACACTGGCAGCCTGGGGCTGGGGAACGCAGTCACTTGGCCTTGGCTGGGCTTTGGGAGCTGTGGCAGCTGCTCCCAGCTCTCCTGCCTCCCTCTGCCTCTGGGCCCTGGGACAGCAGCATGGGTTTACAGCACCAGAGAGCTGTTGGTGGGGCAGCTGTTCAGGGCTTCACAGCACAGCACTGTGTTCCTTCCACACAGGCCGAAAGCATCTGGAGCCTGGCTGAAAGCCTCCTGGAGCTGCTGTATCAGGCAGATGGAGAGCTGATCGGGATGACCCTCTCTGTCTTCCTGAATGTGCTCCGGAATGGAGACCTTCAGGCATTCAGCTGCGATGCTCCAAAGCTGGCTGAGACACTCCAGCCACTGTTTGACAGTGTAAGGCTCTGGTACTGCCAGGGAACTTTGTGCGCTTTGGATTTTCAGGCCTGTGCCTGCTGAGCCTGGAGCAGCCAGTGCTGAGATCTTTTTGTCTTCTTCTGCTCCAGGACAACAGCCATGTGCAGCTGCTCTCCATTCGCCTCTTCCAAGAGGTGATGGAGATGGTAGCGAAAGAGGGAAAGACGGATGTGTGCCAGGTCCTGCTCCCATTCTTCCACTGGGATGATGAGAAGCAGTGTGGGGCAGAGGTGAGCACTTGAGGGCTGTAGTCTCCCCGTGGCAGGGGGCTCAACTGCCTCTTGTCCAGGTGTCTCCATGGGGTGCATTCCTTCAGGAACAAGCTGCTCCACTGTGGGTCCTGCCAGGGAAACCTGCTCCTTCGTGGGCTCCTCTCTCCATGTGCAGCACATCCCTGTCAGGACCCAGCTCCAGCATGAGCCTCCCATGAGCTCACAGCCACTTTTGGGCATCCACCCACTGTCACGGGAGCTCCCCCACAGGCTGCAGTTGGATCTCTGCACCTCGGAGCTCCTCCATGGGCTGCAGGGGGACAGCTGCTGCACCAGGGGCTGCAGGGGAAGCTCAGCTCCAATACCTGCCTTCCTCCTCCTCCTCCTCTATGCTTTTTGTATTGTGCTTCACATGTTCACACTCTATTCTTCCCTGGTTGCAAGTGCCATCTGCACAATAGTTTTCTTTCCCTTCCTAAATATGGTATCACAGAGGCATTACTATCATTCCTGAGTGGCTTGGCCTTGGCCAGCAGCAGCTCCGTCCTGGAGCCGGCCAGAATTGGCTCTGCCATGTGGGGGAAGCTTTGAGCAGCTTCTTCTAAGAGAGGCCACCCCTGTAGAGCTCCCACTACCAAGGCCTGGCCACAGAAACCCAATACAGCTCCCAGTCTGGGCTCATTAGAGGAGAAAGGTGTCTCCAATCAGAATCAAGCAGGCAAGCAGCCTGTGCCCAGGGCTTCTGCTCACCAGGAGTCTTCTGGCCCCTCAAGCTGGGTCTGCTGGGTCCCCTAAGCCTTTGAGGCTGCACAGTGTGGTGGGAAGGGAAGCACTTCCCAAGAAGCTGGGAAGCTGGGCAACCTGCTCACTCTGGCAGCTCTCACACTCTCCCCTACTCCTTCTCCAGGTGCCAGCCATTGTGAGGTACATCCACCAGTGCCTCACCTTCCACCTGTCTCCAGATGTCAGGCAGCACATTGACATCCGCAGGCTCGCTGACAGAAACCC